GTAAAGCAAAAATCTAATTAACGGTTAGTTTAGATGTAATATTTGAGACGCCATGATGAATTTTTCAAAAGGCCTCACGGCTTTTCCTAAAAAAAAACCCTCAATAACTTTTAAAAGATGCGGAGGTTTAAATATACTGTAGCTATTTGTGACATCGGGGGACAAACTCCATCAAGTGCCATTAAAATAGATTAAATTTCTCACTGACTTATAGGCAAAATATTGACCGTTTTGTGAAAAGTTCCATGAATTTGTTGAACTTCAGGGCCTTTGAGGCACGTCTTTCCGATATCCGATTTAAAAAGTTTTTCGCAGGTCACGTTTTTATGACCAAATGAACCTTTCGGGGGGGAGTCTTGCTTTGTAGGAGAAAGTTGCGAAATAATATCGTCGGTCCCTACGAAGAGTAGCACATTTCACTATTCGCGTGGAAGACTAGCACATTTCACTATTAGCGTGGAAGACTAGCACATTTCATTATTCGCGTCGAAAAGTAGCACATTTCAGATTTTTGCGTGGAAGAGTAGCACATTTCGTTATTTGCCTGGAAGACTAGCACATTTCAGATTTTTGTGTGGAAGAGGGATACGCAAGGCAGTTCATATAAGGTTGTAGCAGCCGTTAAAAAAAAAAAGTTACATAAATATGTATGTTTATACTATAATTATTTTTCTTCGGTCATGCTGAAAGTTTAGTGTTGTATATGGAGCCTTTTGGCCGGTTATTACAAGTAAAATAAACGTTTATTTTTCCTCCTACACCTTTCGACATTCGCGTCTTTCTCAGGGAATCTTTATTTATAAATAAATACGAAAAAACATATACATACAGTATCATATCAAGAGCACCCCGTTTCAAAGTGATATTATTTATGTTATGTTTATTTATTTACTTAAAAAACCTTCAATTAAAATAAAGTTAATTCTCTTAAAAAAATCCATATTGGCCCAAGTTTAAAGCCCAGGAGAATACTAAAAAAACTCAACAAATTTTCAACAACGCAAACGCAAATGAAATATTTTCCTTCGAAGAACTGTCCAAATATTTTCATTGGCAAAAAATTAAGATATCACATGTACGGAAAATTACAATAAAAAATAGCAAAAATCAAGTAGACATGGCAGTAAAATACGACTTTATGCAAAGCGAGGAGAAGTTGAACCTAATGAAAAAAAATGGAACCTAATGAAAAAAAATGTTCAGTGAATTGCCTAAAGCTTACAAGGGAAAAATACCTTTAAAAAAAAGAAAAGTGGATGATATTCAACAA